ATTGTGAATATTATAGAAAAATAAAAGTGTGCTATTAACGTGAGCCCCATTGTACATCTTTTAGCAATACTTATGTACATATATTCTTTTTTTTTTTAAATAAAAGCCACAATGTATTCCTTCTTAATTGATCATATTAAAAACTTGAGTTCAATTTTATTTTCTAAATCCTGACACGTTTCATATGGGACATAATTTTAAGCTCCTTGATAACTATTTAAAATTTTCAAATACAAAAAGTTAGTTCATGTTTATATTTAATCTAAATTTGTTTTAATTTATTTACAGCTGATGCTGTTTCATCTATAAAAAAAATAGATTATATACATAAGTATTTCGTAAAGCTAAAACTTACAAAAAATTACGGAAAAACTGGGGACTAGCAGGGCAAGTCGACTATAGTTTATTCATAGACGACCTCATATCCGGCAGATATATAGTGCGCTTCCTTTTGTTTGTGGGTAAGGGTTTGTAAGTGCGCTTTTAACTGATGTTGAAGAGTGAATGCTTTTTGGCAGACCATGCAACTAAAAAGATAAATACAAAATAAACAAATTATAATTAGTGAATAGCCTACATACATATTTATGTATGTATGCTTATGATTTTCATCATAACCGAAGGTTCTCAGTGATATCTTCCCACTATCACCCCACAACAACAAGTTTGGCAGAGGAAGATTACACAGTCCTGCGAAATTTAAGTTTTCCCCCCAATAATTATATAATTTTTTTGAATATCTATTTATGTTAAAATAAAATGCATATTTTACGATTTTTAGCAATTTGCATGAAAAGCCAAAAATTCATTAATTTAGAATTAATTTTTTTACCTAAACAACAGTATTAGTTAAAAATATCCATAAACAGACTAAGTAAATCAGAAAATATTAGTAATATAAGTAATACCGCTTAGAAAATTGATAAAAGTTATTTTCTTAGGTTACCGGGCATTACTACCGTTAAGTTCGAGTTTACTAAAGTTTTTCTGATTTACATAATATATTTATGGGTATTTTTAACTAATGCGGTTGGTTTTTAATTAAATATTCAATTCTGAATTAAATAATTTTTTGCTTTCATGCAAATTGCTAAAAATCCTAAAATATACATGTCATCAGTAAAAGAATCCTGACGAGCTAGAAAAAAAACTAAAGATGCATTTTAATTTAACATACCTACATAGATATTCACAAAATAATATAATTATTGGAGGAGGAAATAAAATTTTAATTTCGCAGGCATGTTACAAGGCACATTAAACCGGTAGTATCAGTAGAGCAAAAACAACATTTGCGTGTATTTTGTTGTTGCTTCTGGTATCGAAAGTGTCAAAAACTGTTCTGAATTTTTTCTTCTAAATCAAAGCGTGCCATGTGAAATACAAAAAATTATAAAAAATAAAAAATTGAAATTGGAAAAATTGTTGCAACTTTCTTTCCTAGTAAATTTGTTTGCTTCTCGAAGCATTGATCCATCCTTTACAAGGGCCAGTAATCAGCGGTTGTGCTGCTGAGTTGGGCGAACGTTCCAAAAGCTGCTATTCAATCGCTTGTTTTGTATGGAAAAAGGTTTCACATGCAAATGGATTTTAACAATTCAGAATTTTTGTGAGAAAAAATTAAAAATATTTGACATTTTCGAGACCAAATAATTTGAAAATAAATCAAATCAGCTGCTCTACTGATACTACCTGTTCAATGTACCTTGGCATGTTATTTGAAAAAATTTGAACTAAAAAACTATTGGCTGCGTTTCTTTATACGTTCCGGATAATCCCATTTCACAGCCGTTTGAAATATACGTCAACATATCATCAGGAACGTTCTTAAGAATAAATAAACAAACAAGTATATTCCAAACGTTCAGAATGAATAAAGAAATTCAGCCATTATGTCTTTATCGTGGGAAAGTGTCAAAGACAACGTTGACAAGTTGACAAAGATGACAGCGATTTGCAGATGTTTGTACTTACTTAAAGTCCTTTTTACCCGTATGGAGTTTGGAGTGATTCTTTAGTATGGCTGAATACATGAAACTTTTCCCGCAAATATTGCAAACATATGGTCGCGTATTTGTATGTACACTATAAGCAAACCAAGTAAGAAATATAATCTAATAAAAGCAGCTTTAAAAATATTTGAAAAATACCCACCGCTCATGCCGATGTTTCTCACTACGATCTATAAAATGACGATCACAATGTGCACATTTGTAGGGTTTTTCACCAGTATGACGTCGCATGTGATTCTTTAATTCGCATATTTGTCGAAATGATTTGCCGCATAGCCTGTTGAATGTTATAAATTAATTACAAAAAAAAAAAACGTATATTTATGCAGTAGTTAGTTGAACTTACTCGCACTCGTGGGGTTTGACGTTGTTGTGCAGCGACATATGATACGCAAAGGTAGCTTTCTTATTGTAAACGTTTCCACAAATATAGCACATATATGATGTGGGACTCGGTGGCCGAAACTTGCGTTTAACACCCGAAGTATACCTTTTAGATAAGTTCGTTCCACATTGCAAGGGTGTGTTTCCAGCATAGTTCTCTGTTGCCTCTGCGCTTGTATCATTGGCTATTGTTGACGTTTCGTAACTATTGACTTCACTCGACTGAGGCTCTTCTTTAATGCTTCGATCCAAATCATTTTCTGTTTCTATATAGAGGTTATCTACTTCATTTTCATCTACAAGTAAACCCAGATCATCATCGCCGTCATCATCGGTATCAGATTCTAGACCGTTGTTAGCTTCATATACTTTATCGCGGTATACTAGTAGTTCTTCCATAAGGTACCCTAAAAATTCTGCATCCTCAGTGCCATCCGGACGTATACGATCTTCACACAAACTCTCCAAATAGAGCTGAGAGTTTAAACACATTTGTCGAAAATTGTACCACATTCTTGTCATTTCGAAACATTTCCAACATATCTTTGAAGGCATATCAGACGACTCGCGAATCTGATGTGAGAAAATATACAATGCGGTACTGCTATCGAAAATAATTATATTTACTTGTGCATAAGTTATCACTCACCCGTACTCCACAACAATACTCGATTTTTTTATTTAGTTTTAGTTTGTGAAGTTTCCCACTGGCGTCTGGTTCATTCTCTGCGAACAACTCAAACATGCTCTCCTCTTCATTGTCCTCCAAGCAAGTGCGGCATTTCAGTATTATCTTGTGCTCCATTTTATGTTTTTGTTCAATTGGGTTCGCTGAACGATTATTTTGTTATACTTTGCGTTTTATAAAGAGGAGAAAATTCAAGAGGATTTAACAAAATACAATAAAACAGCTGGCCAACTTGTCAAAGTAAAAACGTCAATTAATTTAAAACAAGACGCGGCGCTCTGTTATTAAAAAGATGACGGCAAAAATAAAGCCGGGCATACACGAACAAATAAATCTCCGAGCAAATTAGGGTATCAGTGGACGGCTATAACGTACGCACGTTAGAACTGCGGATTGAATTGGTCGCTTTATCAATGAAAACAGTTTAATTTTCATTAAACTCTTTAAAACGGTAAAACTTTGAAACAAAGGGCCTGTTCGAGGCACGTAATAAAAGCGGCATTACTGCTGTACTGATGAAAAATGGCACCATTGTTGCAACTGCCCAACTGATAATACATTGTTAGAAATTCACACAGAACGCGATACATTAATAATTCGCGCAACACTGCGGTTGTGATTGCATCTGGAACAAGCCCAAAGCTTTGACGCGGCGCATCTAGTTGCGCAATAGTTGCAATTTCGTACTAGTCCAAACTACCATTTTTTACCGGAAATCGTTCCCGTACTGTGACAAATAAGAGAGAAGCTACCAGTAGTCAGATTAGCAAAACTTTAATGGAATGTTTGGCAGTTAGTAGAACAGTTTGAGGCTGACGTGGAGTATCACCTCCTCCCATAATAAAATAATTATAGCCCAAATGAAGTTTACACCACAATTAATACCTTAAACGTTCACTTTCTGCGAGCCGAAGTTTTACATTTTATTAAAATGCTCAGAAATACTCAACCAGATAACGAATTCATATTATATCAAGACTAAAACCAATAGTATATGTATCTAAATTATAAGCCTTAGCTGAACTAGACATTTAATATCAAATTTTCAGAGTACAAAACAAGTGGAAAATAGTTACTGCTTACTGCAAACTGAAATTTTTTCATCGCATATACATACATACATAAATAACGCCAAAATAATAATATAATAATTAGACTGTTTTTATTCATTTGCGCTTTTTCTGTACTTTTCCTGCTTTTACACCATTCACGTTCGACGGTGTGCCGGTTTCCTTCTTTTTTGACGATATCTTTTTCTTCGAAGTAGTTTTCTTTTGACGGATTTCGAAAACATCCGTATCATCCTCACCCCCGTATTTCTCCATCAACTTGTCCATAAGCGAATTGAAATTGGACTCACGGGCCTGGTTCCGTTCCATAATTTGCTTTTCCAAATTATTTTCCTGCTCCTTTTTGGCGTTTATCTTCTCTACCTCCTTGGATTCCCGTGCATATTTGGTGTGGCGCCGCTGTCTCTTCTGAGCTGGTTCATTGGTAAAGATTTTATATTCTGGTACTTCACCAGCGTCAATCATTTCCCGTATGATCTTCTGCAGGCGCGGTTCATCTTTCACATTAAAAAACGGCACCTCATTCATAATCCGGTTTATGCAGCCTTTGCCCAAGAGGTACGCCTTCTTCATGTCATTACGCTCTAATTCGGAACCCACATACGACTTTTCATAATTGGAAATATCTTCAACAGTGAGTTTTTTGAACATCTGCCTCCATAAGTCCAGCCAAGAGCTGAGTTTTCCCTCAGTGATATCATCTTCCTCATCAATAATACCTTGCTCATCATACAAACCGCGCCTGTCATTGTCGGATAGAACTTGATAGACCTTTGATAACACTTTGAATTTTTCCGTTGCATTGGATTTGTCATCATCCTTAACGCGATCTGGATGAACTTGTAGTGACAACTTATAATAGGCCTTTTTTATGTCCTTCGGCAATGCAGACTTTTCCAACTCGAGCATCTTGTAGATATCGCGTTCGCCAAAGTATTTTTCACATAAATCTAATAAGCCCATTATGAACGATTATACCAGCTTTTAACTTTGATGAATAAATGTAAATTTAATTCAATAAATAAAAGATTCCACTGGATGTTGCAAAAGAAATGTCGAAGAAAATTCAGCGAAGGCGCGCGAAATGTAATGCTAAAAATTGATAGGCAGGGTTGCAAACACTTGTATGTATACAAAATGAAACGAAAGATTGAAATTAATCGATTACTGGTTACTGGTTACTGGAATTTCAGTAGAAAAAGTCTATATGTCGCAAAAGAAATTTAAATATTGTTTAATCTAACTTATTTTTTTCTGCTATAGGAATATATTCTACAACAGGCATTCAAACGCCATATTAGTAAATGTCTTGACATAAGAGTTGATCATGCAAAAGTCCCCTGAAATAACGCTTGTAATATTTTATTACATTAAAAAATTTTACTTTTAATTTTTGAAATTATAAAAAAGGGACTTCAGCCTACGTCCCGTAGCGAACCCACGGGCCTGGCCCGTAATAAATTAAGCGTTTCCACACGCTTTTCTGTAAATTATTGATACCGTTGATAATCTGGTAAAGGTGAAACGTAGTTAATTAATATCAATCGAGCTTTCACCTACCAGGCCTTTTGGGCTGCTAAGAACAAATATGTACTAAACAGGGACTTCCAATCAAAGTCAGAATTCGTTGTCTCGAATCCTTGCAATTATCAAAAATAAATACGTTTAAAAACTATTTGGCCATACATATATAAAAACTCATATCCATTCTAATAGCAAATCGAATGAACACTTTAGTAATAAGCTTTCTTTTAAAGACATTTGACATTTATTTTAGAAATATATGACAATAGAAAAAGGAAAAAATCAATCGTTCAAAAACTGCACCAGAGAATACATTTACAATACATAGCTACAATTTTTAGAGGACGACTTTTGAGCGGCTTGTGAGCGAGGGTAAGTAGATCATGGATTTGCTTCCTTTAGCCGATCGGAAGGCATCTCTTATTATAATTTTTTTTTTTTTATAATACATATGTAGGAGAATTTTTATCGAGCAGCAAAATATACCCCATGTTATGTCCCCTTTGTTCTAACAACGATTTTATTACAATGACTCATTGAACTGCGAGCTTCAATTATAATGCAGTGGTTTTTATTTATCAGTTCGATATTGATGAGCTCAATGAGGAAACGGGCCCTTCTTCCTCTTCTTCAGTGCCATTTACACCTTCCTCCGTTTGCATGAGATTTACGCTTGACGCAATTTCTCGTTCATTACTATCTTCATCTCCACTAGGCGGTGAGTCGTGTTGAGAACTACACGCGTTTGTATCATCTTTACATTTTTGGTTTAGTTGTTCAAAGTGGGCTAGTGATGAGGCAACAGCACGTGGCGGGACATTAAAAAGCGGATGTGTTGGTGAGAGCTCATTTACTGGGTCGCCTAACACTTTAGGATTGAGTGAAGATTCAGAGTGCTGGGCAATCGAAACGCCACTTAGAGTATAGCAGGTATGGTAGAGATCTTGTGGCCTAATTTGAAAAAATAAAAATAAAATTATGTTACAAGTTAAGTACACTAAAGGATCGTTCCACTTACTTGCCAGGTTTGTCGATCAAACCACCATTCGCCTTTTGACAACATAGCAATATGTATTCCTGTAAAGCGCTGGTATCAAAAAGTGATGGCTTTAAAAGCTCTCCTAAAAATAGAATAAGTAATATTTCTTCCTATATACATACATATTTTTGGCGAGTTATATGTACCTTCTTGCGAGATAATAGCCTGTGTTATGGGTATTGTAGCTCCAACCCAAAAAGAATAACAGCCATCGACTAGTTTATTAGTACGTCCTTGAAAGCCCCCTTCGAAAGGCATTTGGCGTTGCAAATTCCATTTCTGCGGTAAATTATTAATTAAGCATTTTGTTGTGAAATACTTATCAACATATTAATATTTACCAGCAGTTGGTGTGTATCACATTTGTGTCCTTCGTCTAGCATTGCCAAAGCTGCAATACCACAAAATGTGTAACCGCCGTGCGCTTCCAAGTCCGGCGCTCCTCCAAATCCACCTTCATATGTCTGACAACTAGCAATCCAATCACCTGTTTTGTCAAACAGTTTCTCCAAAACTTCGGCAGGCATATTTGTCAGTTTAGCACACGAGATAGCGCAATATGCGCCACGCACATCCGTCTCGCCATCTACATGTAAACGAAACGAACCATCTGGCTCACGTACGGAAAACAAAAATTGCATCAATGAATCTCGATCAATGGCACGATACGCACTTGGCGTGCCAATAATGCATAAGCTGTTAACAGCTGCATATGTGGGCGCTAGATGAGGATATTGGCCGGGACCGCCTGCGAATCCCCCGTTCGGATGACGACACCTTCGCATAAAATATAACAGATCTCAATTTACAAATTAAGAATATATGAACCGTTTGGGTTACGTACTTGGTTAGGAATTGTACCACATGCTCCAGTGTCTCTTCATCAAAGGTGAAATTCAATAAATGCGCTGCCTGTAATATCCAGTATACGTTCCACGGTCGACTACTATCTAGGCACTCATAATTTGTAGGTAACCGGCGCAACATTGATTCCAAGTAGCGTTGGTGTTCTTCGCGATGAATTTTCGCTACCTTTGCATCCAGGTACTGCATTTGTTGAAAACGATTGAAACATTTTTCGATGGAATTCTCCGTCTTTTGCTGTTGAGCGGTCAAAATGTTATGCACAAGTGAAAATTTGACGACAAAAATTTGATTTAGTTTATGTATTAGCATAGCGTTTTAGCGATGGCAACTTATTGGAGCTCACCTGTTCGCGAGATGTAATTGTTGATATTCGTTCATCGTCGAATTTCAGACGCTTGAGTGAAGCGTAATCACGAAAAGTAGGTTCTGCATCCATATCCATGTCTATTAAATTTTGTGTTATTTTATTGCTCGTAGAAATAAACCAAAAAAAAAGAACCAACAGTTGCAACAAATGAAAAACAACAAGAATTTGGCAGGAGCGCCGCCCGGGTTGCTTTGTGGCAATAAAGTATGTTGCAAAAGGGTTGTAGCTTTACGCTTTACATTTTACAGGTCTATTCTGCGCTGGTAATAAAAA